AAGTACAAACCATCACCTCTTCAGACCTTAAAGAGGAATTGCTGCTCAAGGAGCCTTAGTTGCTCACTTTATTTAAGCTAAGAAACTCTATAGTGACATGATTGGAGACCAATGCATTCCTTACAAAATGAAACAAAAAAAAAAAGAGTAACAAATTTATTATTCTTCCTTAACTGACAGGGTTTTTCAAGTTAAGAGCCATCAAACTCAGTCCATTCTCCTGAAGGCACAGCATCAGCCCCAGTAAGAGGATATTTCAGATACTAAATGGACTCTACCTTTGAACTCAAATAAAAGGCCAATATTAATGATCTTATTTACAAAACCAACTGTCCTCTTCCAGGGTTAAATCTGAGACAGAAAACAGGTGGCTAAAGAGAGACTCTCCTTCCTCTTCTACTACTCAGTGAGGAAAGAGAAGAGAGAGTCCGGAGCTCAACCCTCCCTGCCCCTCTTCTCTCCCAGGAAGGAAAGGTCATCACAACAGGAAAATGGCACAACAGGAAAAGTCCAAGATCTTGAAAGCAAATGTTAATGCTCTTTTCCTCTTGAAAGGAAGGTCAAGTATTTGGGGCATCGGCTAGAATACGTTTCAAACATGTTTCTTTTGTAAGAACAAAAATAAAATGTAATGTAAGGCCCCCCCAAAGAAGGTGAATGATAAAAGCTGGTAGGTTTCCCATACCCTTAGCTCAAAGCAATAGCATGGAGTTGAAATTGTCTTGGCTGAGAGCCCAGAGGGTAGCTCCAGATTTCCTTGGAGGTATTAATGTTTTAATCATTTTAACATAAAATGTATTACTTGGTAATTGCTAACGATATGCTTTCCTGGTCTTGGTGAAAAGGGAAGAAGTGGCTGCCAGATGGGCTTGGGTAAATCTGGTCTGGACTCTGGAACAGATTAGAGGAAAAAAATATGCCAAGACCATTGCAAAAAAAAAGTCTATTTCATATTTTGTAAATTGTATGGCAAACATCCCTCACACTGGTACAAACAGAGCCGGTCACTTCTTTACAAGGCAACAAGGATATTAACTAAATAACTAAGGGGAAAGTTTTCAAAGACTCTTAACTGACCTCTTTGCCTAAGTCTATTTGGGTTGCAGAAGTATTTAGGCATTTCCTTCCTTCCTCACTCCCTCCCAGAGAAGTAAATGAATGGGAATATCATTCTGGTCTATCTTATGGTATCCAATCCACAGGAAAAAGAGCGGGCATGGCATGCCAGAAGAATTTTGGAATCCCTATTAAGTGGACTCAATGAGCAGCACTTCCCTCTCCTTCTGCATAGACCTGCTGGCCCAATATGGTGTTACATGGCAGAAGTTACCCTTTGAATGAGCTGTACAGCAATGGAATTTAAGATTTAAGGTTAACAGAGCTCCCCTGACTTACAAAGCAGAAGAGAATCAGTGTTAATCCTGAAGCTTTGGTCCAGTTCCGACTCAAACAGGAACACTACAATACACTGCGTACAAGATCAGATGACTGCTACCAGCTGGAAGTAGAGACAATGGCACTTCTCATGTGTGTCAGAGATGCAAGTTCCTTTTATGCCAGGATGAGAGAGATTCAGGTCTCAGGGGCATCGCAATGCCACACAATTCCTGCCCCAGCTTTAACTCTAGAGGTCTTCACCTCCTTTGCTTGCCCATCTCTCTCTGGGCCAACTGGGACCTCCAATACCTCTGCCTCAGTCCCTTCCACAACCACCAAATCATTCATCAACAGCCCACTTGGGCCATTGCTTCTGTCCCCAGGCCTATCTGTTCCAAGACCTGCTTCACCCCTCTCAGGCACTGGGCCCCTGGTCCCTGACCTCTCTGTTCGAAGGTCTGCTTTGTTCCTTTTGGGCTCTGGTCTACTCGCTAGCTGGGCTTCAGGTACCCTGGACCTCTGCTCTCGGTCACCCTTCTCCAGGCTATGGGCTCACCCACTCCTGTTCCCAGGCCTGGTCTGTTCCTGGGCTTGGTGCTGCTTATCCCAGCTCAGCAGTTATCAGGAGCCCTGCTGCCAGGAGCTCCTCTTTCACTGGCACTCAGGGGCAGACTCCCCAGTTGGCCCCTGCCGCACCTGCAGGCTGCTTCTCAGGCAGCCGCTCTCTCTTACAATAACAGAAGCACCAAGTGCCATGTCACATGGGACCAAGTTAGGAAAAGTAAGATTTCACCCAGACTAATTTGTTTCCTTTGGAGTGAAGAGGAAGTGCTTAGAAGTAAGCAATTGTTTGACAAAAGTTTCATTTGAAATAGGAAGGGAAAAAAAATCAACCAAACAACTACAAAACCAAAGAAAAGCTACTGTAAACCTGGGGGTTACAGTAGACCACAAGCTGAATATGACCCAATGGTGTGCTCTTGTTGATAAAAAGACCGACAACACAGTGGGTGCACCTATATGTGCAATTAAGGTGAAGAAATAAACTCCACAGCACTTTGAGCCAGAGTAAACTGCTCCTGGGCGCAGCATCCAAACGTGCGCCCAGGACAGCAGCAATTTGAGTTGGGGCAGAGCATGCCTGGGCTGGCAGCGGGTACGGGGGTCATCGCCAAGCTCCAGCATTAGGCTGCAGAGGGGCTGTGGTACAGGAGACCAAGACATTTCAGGAATGGCAAATATCCATCCATACCAATATCAAACAAAAGAAACTGCCTTAAAGGTTTTGTAAGCATGAAGGAGACTGGTCACACCTTCCACTCTGAAGTCCCTGCTGAGCTTTCTAGAATTTATAAGAGACTCAGTCTGTTCTCCAGGTGTTGACTCAATCAAATCAAAATAAAGCTCCTGAAAATCATAGAAATTGCGCATTTTATTGAACAAAGACCCCTGAGGGGAAGAATTAAAATATTATTCTATTGAATATTAAATACAAGGAACAGTCACATCCATGACTCAAAAATTCAGGCAAGATTAATCTGCTGAAGCTTATACTTTCCCAAGATCTGCTTGGGGACCTAATTTATATACAGCCTCATTATTTATGCCTATTCTCTGAAATAAAGCTATCAGTATTTTTTTTTAATAATTTATTTTTGCTGAGGACAGCATAAAAATGAGCGAGCTCATTTTGAGTGACTCAAAATGATTTTTTTTCACCTTCCTATTTATTTCATAGAAAATGCATACCACCCAGAATCAATCTGGCAGAAAACTGTAGCAAATTTAACATCCATGTGAATAAACATATATTCACAGTAGGCATTCACAGAAAAGAAGGAAAAGGGGGTTAGGTAAGGATTTTAATTTTGACAGAAAATGCTTAAAAAGTGTTCAGCAAAAGCAACCAGGTTATAAATTCTAGAGGTGCACCAATATATCGGTGCCATATCAGATCGGCACTGATAAAAGGAAAATTAACACTATCATTATCAGCTTTTTTGGCTGCTGTAGCTGCTAATGTTAACCAATAAATATAATATGCCTTCTGGTGGGGGCCCCCAGATGCCTGAGAGAGAGTGGGGCTTGTGGGCAAGACCATGGGGGCCGGGAGGACCTGAGGTCCAAGGCTGGTGGGAATTCGCCTGAATAAGAATGAGGCCTGAGTGGGCCAGGGGTTGGAATCAGCCCAGTGTGGGGCGATAGGCCTGACACCCCGTCATAGAGTAGGGCCTGAATTGGGAGACCTGAAGGTCTGCGACAGGTCAGGACGAAGCCGGAGAGAGAAGAAGCCTGAAGGGCTGTATGGAGTAGGGCCAAAGGGAGCCTGAAGGGCCATACAGAGTAGGTCAGAGTGCACATGGCCCATGGTGGGGTGAGAATAAGTGTGACCCAGAGAAAGGGGCAGCGTGAGTGAAACCCAGTTATGAGGCATGCGTAGGAAGCCCAACATAGGGACAGAGTCCAGCTCTGGAGAGGGCTAAGTGAATGTCAGTTGTTTGGAGGACATCTGCAAGGCATGGGATACGGTATTAAGGAAGATCAAAGATGTGTAATTGGCCCAGAATACCAGGGCTGCCTTCTGCATTTTATATTATTTTAATTTACATCAAGGCATGGCAGGTGGGTGCAAGGCAGCCTGCAGTAGACAGGCGGCAGGCTAGTGATAGACATGGCCCTAAGATGGCCCCCCATCACAGAGGGGAAGGGCCGTAGGGTAGGGAAGGGGTGGGGGGGGCAGATCAGGGCCCCCACTGTGATGGAGGGAGTGGGGCAGGGGCTGGGGGCACTGCCCCTGAGGCCAGAGCGGGAGTGGGACAGCTGCTATCAGCTTGTCTAGGGGGCACGGGGAAGGGAAGGGCAGCTCCCTGCCACAGCACACACCCCTTGGGGGGACATGTGCCCACCCATATTTGTGTGCAGGGCAGATGCAGGCTGCCCGCTGTGGGCTTGGGGCTCTCTGCTCTCCTGCCTTTTCCTCGGGGGCCCTGCACTGGCTGCATGCCCCCTGCCCACCCAGCAGTGGAGGGAGCGAGTTGTGGCTTCAGCTGCTGGGTGGGTAGGGGATGGCTTCCGATGGAAAGGCAGCAGGGCAGAGTCCTGGGCCCGCAACAAGCAGCCCACATCCGCCCTTGCCCCGCTCGGCTTCAGGTAAAAGCACCCCCACGCTTAAAAATGGTGGCGGCAGTGCCTGAATTAAAGGTTATTCACCAAGCTTTAGCTCAAGCGCCCCGCCACCATTTTTAAGCTTCAGGACACTGATCCCCTCTGTCCCATTCCCTGCCCTGGCCCCAGATGTCATTCACCACCTTAGCTGGGCAGCACCCCCAGCCCCTGCCCCACTCCCTCCCTCACCATGGATCTGCCCCGCCGTGGCCCTTCCCTCTCTCACACCCCCCACCCCAGACTTACCTGCAGAGAGCTGCTCTCCACACTGCCAGGCTGAATTCCTGTAAATCGGCTATTGGATCAGTATCAACCGACATGCCTGCTTAATAATCAGCTATTGGTATTAGTCAAGAAAATCTTTATCAGTGCACCCCTCATAAATTCCTTTTACCGAGGGCCATTTTTGAATATTCTTGTGCACTCATCCGTATACTCAAAAGGGAATCTTTACTTACTTTGTTAGTTTATGACCTTTCATTGCCGTGAGGAAATTTCTTACAATTTCAGGACTTTGGTATCTGCATGGTGTTTTGGATATGTATTTTAATGTCTGTAGAGGGTAAGAAAAAATATGTTACCATTTGTAATGCAAAAATAAATGTGGAGTATCAAATATCTATGCAGAGAATTATTTGCTGAAAAGCCTCTTCAAATCTACTGAAAGAAGTGTGAATAGTGACCTTGGTCATGAACGCCACAATATCTTGAGGTGTTCATGGGACATCATGCATGTTTTTTCTTGAGCTTTGTTTTACTGATAAGGCATGTGGGTGATATAGTATAACACCTATCGGTGGTATTAGGCTGCATTCAAGCATATAATCCTTATGTTTCTAGGCACTGTGGCATTTGATATAAAATGTATTTCTCATATGCCATCACAGGGCCCGAATCACACAGTATGATAAGGGTTGCAAGGTGTCACTTGCTAAACAATGAGTTTCTTTCACACCTGGGAGGGACTCAAAGCCTAAATGGCTGAAGAAAAGTAAATTTAGAAAGTCAGCAACCAATATCGGTGTGTCAAAAAGACAGAGACGCTTGTCAATGTGGTCCAAGACACTTGACCACAGGCCCTTCCAGATAATGCCAAATTTAATTTTAAAAGGAAAGACCCTAGCTTGAATATCGTCTGGGACCAGCTTATTTTAAGAAAGGACATTTCTCTCAGTGGGGAAATTAAGTGAGAAATTAAATATCTTTAGGATCTGTCCGAAGATCATAACACTCCCCAGATCATAAACTGGAGCAGGAAAGACTTGTAGTCTGGTAAACACACATACCCTGCAGGGAGAGGGGCACCCTGATTGAGAACCACTAGTATAGAGCATCTCAAGCCCTTGTTAAAAAAAAGTACCAGACTGCTTTCTTAAAACAGGATTGAAGAGCCTTATTCTAGTCATCCCTAAAACAGTGTTATTTTTTCCAAGATTTTCCAGAATTCAGTGCCAAGGTCATTTCCAACTCATGAATAACTAATTTAAGTTCCACTGCAGTGACAAAGCCTTCCAATATAAAGAGGTTTTCATTCTTTACAGCTGGACGTGTACTTCAATCTGCATATTTGGCACCGTTTTCTAAAACCCCAGAATTTATGCATATTACCGTTAAAAAACCTAGCAAGAATTTTGTAGTCGTTATTCAGAAATGTTCATTTTCTACTTCTGTTAGATAATTAATTTTCCTGCTGTTTGTCTTTTGCGCTAACACTAATTAACCTCAACTAATCTTTGCAAAACATTTGCTTTTTTATTTAAAAAATGAGGATTCAAGAAGACAGATAACACCATTTTGCAACTTCGTATGAGCCCAGCCTCCTGACCAAAAGGAAAAGTTGATCAAATGGCTTTACTTTTATTTTTAAAGAAGCCCAATCAGATTGTAGTTTACAGTCACCCTTTTAATTTGAAAAAAACACAAGAATCTTTCTGGATGTCATTTGACCTAACCCCAAAATAAGAGTAAAGAGGATCACTAAAAGACTACAGGAAATTCTTGTTTTAACTACCAAAAAAAGTAAAATTTACTAATTTCATCATTAACTGTAAAAGTTACCCGTTCAACTGTTTCAAACTTGAAGTGTTGATCTTTACCTGTACTTCTCCACAGCAGTGTACATAGCTCTCACTGAGACTACGACTGACAGATGCTCCACCCATTAATAGGATTTCAAATATGATGAACCAGCCCACCCTGGGTGCATAGCATGCGTGCGCATCGTGCTGTACAGCAAAGATGGATTTCTTCTCCTGAGGAGTCTATGTATTACTTGTGTACTGTGCCATGAGCATAACTAAATAAGTATCTTTTTATATAGGCATTTTTGTCTTAGAAATTCTTTAAAACAAAAATCTATCATAAAAAGGGCAGAAAAGAAAGAAATGAGGCAATGTTTAGCCAACAGAATATAACTGGTAGGGAAGAAATGTTGTTTCCAAGATTCTTTAGGATATGACAAATAATACAAGTATATGACATTATAAAATAAATCTATTAAAAGCAACCTAACTAAAACTTGATTTTATCAACATAGAAAGATTTGGCCTTCTTCCTCTCTACCGAAATGATAAAAATATTCATTGCTTGTGTTCCTAACGATTATCTTAGGGGGATTTGAGCAATATTTTAATGGAGTAATACACTGAGCAACTATTTTATCAAAGTATTATGATGATTTGTTTTTACTTGTAAACCATGACTGATTGCAGTAGCGGAGAAATTTACTGATTGCCTATTAAAATACTATATTCTATAGTAGAAGCCATGGCTATTTAACTTTAGACATTTATTTTCCAAACTCGGCTATTTATGTACCATATTTCAGGGTGTACAAGTCGGGTTTTGGAGCCCAATTTTTGTCTCTTAAAAAATCAAGTTTGATTTATGCACTGTAGCACGATCTCCTGTGAGCGGCGCCGGGCTCAGCACTTCGCTGGCACAGCAAGGGAGCACCGCTCACAGGGGGTGAGACCATGCCAGCCAAGCACCTGGCCCTGTCTGCTGTGAGCAGCCAAGCCTGGAGCCACTCGCAGGGGTCAGGGCTGGGTTCAGTGCTCAGCAGTGCCACTCGCAGGGGATAGGGCCTCACTAGTGTCACTTGCAGGGGACAGGGACAGGGTTGGGCTCAGATGAGCTCGGTGCTCAGCTGGCGCGGTCCCTGGCTGCACCAGTGCCACTTGCAGGGGATGGGACTGCACCAGCCAAGCACCAAGCCCAGCACCATGCCCATCTCCGGCTCCTGCGAGCAGTGCCAAGCTTGGCACTTGGCTGGTGACATACTGCTAGCAGGAGATGGGGACAAGGATGGAGCCAGGGCCGGGCTTGGATGGCTCAGCCCCATCCCCTGAGATAGCTTACAGGGGATGGGGCTATGCCAGGTGAGCGCTGAGCCTGGCCCTGTAGGCTGTGAGCTGTGCTGCCAAGCGCTGGGCTCAGCACTCAGCCCCCATTTATACACTGTGCCTATGAAAATCCTATCTTTTTGCATCGAAAATCCAGGGTCGACCTATACAGTGTGAAATATAGCAATTTTAAACCAACTAAAAGTGCCCATCATCGTATTATGGTCATATCTAAACGCAGGCACCATTTAAATAAGCTAGTTCCAACTACTGTAATATCGCAGGTACACCTATATACAAGGCTTATTAATATGTATTCACAACAAAGAGAAACAATCCCATTATATCAATACTGATATAATGATATGGTCATACTTGCTTAATATTCATATATTTAGCAAGTACACTTAGAATTAACATTTCCCTTTTGCCTGACTCTCCTATTTACTTGAAACAACTGAGAAAGAGACTACAAATCTTACTAAAGATTTGACCAGGATTTGGAAAATGTTGTTTTACTGAAGCTGCAGTTTATAACTTTGTCTTTTCAAACAAAGACAGAACTAAAACTCAAAAAGCCAGGACCAAACCATATGTGCCTAAGTGGTTCCACTACAGTCAATGGGGACTACTCATGGAAGCAAAACAAACTAGATTTAATGCAATATTAACCATGGTCCACTAGCAGTCCAACTATGTGTCTTTTAAGTAATTGAATCATCAAGGATCCTGGTTTTCTGTTTAAAAAATCCCAAATTCTCTGATAAACTATCCAAAATTCTCTAAAAAAAAAACCAAAATCTGCATTTTTCCACAATTAAAATGAAATACCTCTCTCTATATATATATATCTATAGATATATAGACATATAGAGAGAGAATCACACCATCAGGGCCATGCACCAAGCTTGGTGCACGGCTGGTTTAGGTCATCAGGGGCCAAACTCTGTAGAGCCTGAACCAGCCTGCACCGTTAGGGAGCAACCTCATGGCATGGGGGTAGTCTGGCACACCCACTGGTAATACATCAGGGGGAGGTGGAAGGGCACACGGCTCCCCAGATTTCTGTGGGATGCAGGGCATAGGGCTGCAGCCTGACTGAACCGGCAGCCTTGGTGCTGCTGCCATCCTTGAGAGCCCTGCACTGCTGCCGTTGGGAGCTGCTGTCACCACCCCGGCTGGGCAGCACCCTCAACCCTGTCCCAAGGGTACACACGCCCTCCCTCCCGCACCAAGCCACTGCCACCCCAGCCGGGCAAGACCCCCAGGCCCAGCCACAGCCCGAGCCATGGCGGGATGAGGCAGCCTGCTTGCCCTGGCCCTGACCCCAGCCAATGGCGCAGGCATGGTCATGTTAAAAGGTAAAGCAACAAATTATTTGCTCTACAGCTCAGGTTTTAAATAAGCCAACTATTGTGGAAGTACAGGTTCAAAGCCAACAAAGTGTACTTTCAGCCTTAAAGAGATTATGAAGCTTGCTGTACTAAGATCTTTTGAACAGCTCCTTACACACCAGCGCCACAGTGTTGGCTCCAAACATTAAAAATCCTGTGGAGGCATTTGGCCTAGTGTCCTTGGTCAAAATTATTTATCTCCTTTCTCATGATGAGCAGAAGTTAGCTGACGCTTCCTAGCTCAGAGATGGCTACTTTTCAGCAATTTGAAATGTTTAGGGAAGAAAACTCGTATTATATGCAGGAAATATTTACTGAAGTTCTATTAAGCAGAGGCCAAATTCCTAGATAAACTCTGCATGTGTAAACGTCTGCCACTTTACACTGAAGTGCAAAATAACTGTGTAGCTCTACTCACTTCATACATGATAGTGTTCAGATTTTGCTGGCCAGAGCTCTGTTTGCTTTTTCCACTTTCTTTGCGTTGTTGTTTCAGATCAGTAAGTAACTGGAACACCTAAACAAAAGGCATGTTTTACTGAGTTACTCCAAAGTAGTTTTCATTATTTTCAATTTTTTTTCAAAATATTATCAATATTTTCTACAATAATATTATGACATTTTTCAATTACTATCAGCTAACTAACAGAGATTATGCTACCCCTTTATTGACGGACTTGGTGATTAAAAGGGTAATGGAAAACTTTATCGGTGTTATTCCTTGCATATGATCATTCCAAATTCAGGTAACTAGTACTAAATGATATTGAAAAAAAGATGTAGGAATTATTGGACCACACTCTACGTATGTTTTAATGGACTATCAGCATTCGTGGAAACTGTACAATATACTGATGATGAAAATTAAGTGATTTCTCCACGATCACAAAGGAAATCTTTCACAATAGCAGGAACAGAACCCAAGTCTCCTTACTCACGGATCATTTTTATTGCAAAATATTAGCTTGACAGTGACAGGGTAAGACACTTCCATCAAAATGCAACAGGAGGGAAAGATGGAGCAAAAACTACGGAAAGGAAAATAAAATCCTAGTTTTAGAAGAGCGCGCATATGGAAGAGAGCTACAGACGTGCTCAAAATGCCTACAGCTGCAGATATTGCTAATCCCTTCCTGTAAAGAATTAAAAAGCTGTATGGGCTGAGAGAACTATGCTGAGAAAGGGAAATGGGGAATGAGCAGTCTCATCAGTAACTCCATTTTCCACTTCTTTTCTCACTCAGCACGTGTGGGTACATTTGGAACTGAAAAGATAACGGGGCTCAAGTGAAGACAACGAAGATGGAGAAAGAGACAAAGGGCATTTTTACACATCCTCTGGGGGGTGGCTCTTTAGCCAAAGTAGCTCCAAAAGCCACTCTAAAGCACTGCCACGTCTCCTTGTATCAGCGTCCCCGTGTTTAAAAATGGCAGCGGAGGCGCTTGAACTAAAGCTCATCCGAAGAGCTTTAGTTCAAGCACTCCTGCTGCCATTTTTAAGCGTGGGGACGCTGATACATGAGATGCAGGAGGCAGCTGGAGCACAGCAATTGCCACACTCCAGCAGACTTAATTAATCGAGTCTACTCTGACGCGCTGGCGTTTCGATGCGTCCGAGCAGCCTTCGCGCTCATGTACAGGTGCCCAATGAATCTTTAAGGTATACAAATGATCTCTAATGCATAGAATCACAAGTCCAATTCTGCAAAGTGGACCAGGCTCTTACTTTGGGGTGGCTAAATCTTTAACACAAAGACCTCAAGAAGTTCTCAACACAACAAATACGTCCCATACCCTATTTTCTCCTCAATATTCCTGCATGTTGAAAAGGAACACAAAGTAGTAGTGGAAAGATTGGATTTTTCAAGATACCATTACTTCACTAGCTGCTACTTTCTGTACTGAAATAGTAGATTTAAAGAAAAGAAGTCAGCCCTAAGAAAAACATGTAGCTCTGATTAAATAAGGTTAGTCTCTGTTTCTTGAACAAAACTGTTCCTACTAGGTATCTCATTAAGTTCTTCTAAAGTCTGCCACATGGTGTACTTTGCTCTATTCAAACATACGTGGCTCAGAGGACATCAAAACTTACTTTGGAACCAGGGTAGAAAGGCTGTATAAGTCTGGAACTTCAGCAAGGAAATAATCTTGAGGAAATATTTATGGTTTGTAAAGGCATTAAATTCAGTTAAATTCCTAACTAAAGAATCAAGTCCTCACATAACCTCATATAACCTGGGGCACCTAAGAAAATGGCATGCTCTTCTCTTCTCATTTCCAAAAAGGCATCTTCTCTTAGAAGGCTGAAAAGGTGGCTCAGTATGGCTTTGTCTTCACAAGCTGTTTTCTAACCACATTAGCAGTCACAGTCCCTGCATTAGCAGACATGAACTTGTTGCTCTCTCGAAGGACTTACTATGACTTGCCATCACATTTCAGAACTACACGCTGCCTTGCCTTCATCATAAATTTACCGTATGCTGAGAAAATACATTTTTCCCTAGTGTGAAAAAAAAAGACACCAAAGGCTGTTAAAAACACTGCAAAGACTTAAAGGACTTAGAAGCTTATTTATTTTTAGTAGCACAGTCTTCAATTTATTTAAGCATTTCAGCAAGTCCTGGGCTCCAGGCTGATACTGTATTCGTGTACATAAAATTACATATGAAATAACAGCACTGCTGTCAGCAGCCATTTGAGAAAACACCTGGAATCATTTGCAAAGTACTCCTACTGTTTCAATTCATGTATCTCTGGAACATTAAAGAGGATCCAGCATACGCTGTCTAATGTTTTTGGCCAGGTATACCCCATGAAGCCAGATCATCTAGCCTGCGGGACTCACCAGGGGTCTAAAAATCTGGTGGCAGGGTGGCAAGTAAAGCCCCTTCCTTGCTGCCAAATTTCTGGACTGGGGGGCAGCCTCTTGAGCCAGACAACATGGCCCTGCACACTACACTGGGCATGCAGGGTGGCACGAGGCTGATCCAGGCAGCACATAGCACAGGGCCACTCAGGGCAGCACGGAGCCTGATCCCAACACACAGGGCTAGGCAGAGGCCGCATGAGGCTCCATCTGGCCCATACCACTCATCTAGCTCACAGGGTCAAACAAAAGGTTGAGCACCAGTGCTGTTGGCTATCTATTCGTTTCCATCTTACATGTGATTTAAAAATGCATTAATTTGATTCTACTTTTCATTGCAACAAAACTGGCAAACTGAAGGATTTGGAGTCTGATGTATGAACAGTGTGACTGCTAACAAACAAGGGCACTAGCCCAGGCTTAAAACTGGCATAAAAGAGCGTGAAATGAGGCCCCTCATTAACACTACACTTAACAAAGACAAAATCTGGCAAATCAATTTAAAAAGTGACAGAGAGAAAGCAGAGAAGAGCAGCTTTAAAATGGCTGATGGTCTGGATGCTGACTCTCTTATATTTAGATGTCCATGCGCATGCACACACACACACACACACACAATCATTTGATTTTGTGTGTCTGGGATTGAATCCTGTTCATCTTTACCATGAAAGCAGTACTAAAAGACTTTTATAAACATTTAAAGGAACAAAAGTAGCAGTACAACAAAGGACAGCCCACACAGGGGCCCAGGTACAACAGAAAGAGCCTGGGGCTATGGCCCGCAAGGCCTGCCCTCACAGTCTACAAACAAAAACACCCGGTACAACATCAACCTAATAAGACCCCTGCCGGTACCCCGGGAAGGGGCGAGCAGTATCACAGAACAAGGACCAAACAGCCACCCTCGATGCTGCAGAGCATCTCCTGAATGCCCCAGTGGTGCCTGGAAGGCTGGTACTGTCTGCTGGAGGACCGCGTGCTCGAATTGCAGTGACAAGCATGCATGGACCATGAACCGAAAGAGCCACAAGGCATCATCAGAATTGGTCCCAGCAAGCCAGTTCCTGCAGCTCTTGAGGATGGCCATCTTGGCCTGGCCAAGCAGAAAGTTAGTCAGGCAGATGACATCCCCCTCCCCCCTGCCAGGTATGAAAGGGAAAACAAAAAGGTAGCCTCTGAGCGGTCCAAGTCCAGCACCTCGAACAAAGCGCCAAAGGTAGCCAAGAGCGGCAGGAGCCAGGGGCACCCAAGGAAGGCATGGAACAGATCTGCCTCTACCTCCCCCGGACAGAAGGGGCAGGTCGCTGACACACTCGGATCCACGTGGCAGATGAGCGTGATGGTGGCCAGCATCCCATGCAGCACCCGCCACTGGAGGTCACCGGTCCTTTTGGCAAAGGGCAGCATATAAAGTATGCACTGTGTGGGGCGGGCTGGCGTGAGTGCCGGTGCCACTAGCCACCACCATGTAGTGTCAAGACAACTGGCAAGGACGTGGGAGTAGCAGACACAAATCAACCACGTGTACAGGGCTTTTTGGGGAAGCGTGTTAAAGCGAACCCCAGCATCGCCATCAGAGGCATGGGAAGAGCCAGTAAAATGCCAGGCCCACCATCCAGGTCACTATCCATGGCTGGGACAACGGGCAGCAGTGGAAAGGGTTCACCTGGGACATCCCCAGCAGGGATGACCCACCATGCTGAGAGGTGGTTTTCCAGGGCGGCCACTGCCTCTGCTGGGAGGGTGGCCCGCGTGTCCCCCAGGAGGCGGGTGGCACAACAAACCGAGCACATGCCCGAGCAGGCAGCCAGAGCCTCAGCCTACAGCCAATCCGACCAGGTCACATCAAAAAGGTGGCCCAGCTGGACAGTATGCAATCAGATGCGAGTCAGCAAGGCTATCAGAGCCAAGACTCAGCAGCCTGTGCCGCAGGGCCAGGTTGTAGACAAGGAGCTCCTGCAGCAACTCTGGAAGCCACAGGTGCCTAGCTCAGGGCTGGACGCAGAAGGTGGCCTGCCAGGCCTGCGCCAAGCTGCAGTAGGGCTGGAGGATGCCCCAGTCCAAGAGGGCAGGATCCAAGAGAAAGAGCTCTCGGTCGAACCCAAGGTCCCCCACCCATCACAGAAACACATAGGTCCCCCCGCTGTTGCCAGGGGGAAGGGGGGCAGGGGTCTCCTCACAGTAGATTTCATAGACATCAGGGCTCCAGTAGTCTCTGGAGGGCCTGCAGGAGGAAAGCAGCTACCCTGCCTGCCAAGTCAACCAAGTCCTGGCCTCCCTTGGCCATCAGCAGCTAGAGAACAGCTCAGAGGAACCAATGGCACCCATCCCAGAAAAAATCCACAAACAGTCTCTGCAGCATGTCAAGTCAGTCTGGCGGGGGGGGTCCAACACGGCACATCGGTGCCATAATGTTGTGGCTGCCAAGTCGTTCACAATGAGCACCCGTTGGTGGTAGAAGAGGCCAGGCAGACACCAGTGCCATTGCCGCAGATGTGCCTCCACCTCATCGCTGAGGCCCTCCCAATTCTAGTCAGAGAAGACAGATGGTCGGAGGAACGCCCCTAGGACCTTAAGGCCCTTGAGATGCCAGGAGAGACCTCTGGGCAGGTCCAGGGTGAAAGAGGTCGGCCCAAGCACCGAGAAGTAGGGTGTCACTCTTGATGCAGTTGACGCAAGCTGAAGAGGCACAGTCATAAGCACGCTGACAGTCAACCAATGACCGGACATCACCCTGGGTACCGAGGAGGACGGCCACAATGTGGGCGCATAGAAGAGGAGACGACGTTGTGCCAAAGAGAGGCAAACAGTTAGCAGGCAGCCAAGGATGACCTCTTGGACTACCGCCATGTCAGGCATCAGCTGCAGCAAGAAGACAATTGCGACCTCTGCGCTGAGGGAGGTGCCAGGACTCAGGAACATGTGGCCTCTCCAGGCAACATGCCAGTCAGCCTGATTGGCAGCGTCAGTATGGGTTTCCTGCAGGAAAGCTACATCCAGCCGTTTCTGATGCAGGAAATCGGAGAGCCGTCTGCTTCCCAGGATCTCTGCAGCCGCTGACACTGAGACAACTAAAAGCCGTAGCAGCCATGCATAAAGGGTGTAGAAAGGAGGACAGGCAAAGCCAAAAGAGCAGACAGAAGTACCAGAGAGGAGGAAGCACGCAGGACAAGAAAAAAATGGGCCTACAGATTGCTAGCCAAAGCTTCCTGCAACAGGCACCCAACATCGTCCGCGAGCTTGCTTAGGTGAAAGCTATAATGCTGCATCCCCAGGGTGGAGCGCAGCATCGCTACTGCGGCCTTAGCAGAAAGCACAAACGTCTCAGGTTCCGGGAACCATTTACGAATACACGGGGCAACTTTCCAGTGATGCCTGGTCTGGTCAAGAGACTCAATGAGGCGCTCAGCGGGGTAACCAACAGGGAGGTTCCTCAGAGGCAGGAGCAGGCTCCGCCACCGGGATGTAGATTATGTGGGGGGGACTTTAGCTGAGTCGGAGACGCCACTCCTTGAGGCAGGACTTCCCTCAACTTGTCCTCAGAGACAGAATCAAAATCCGACCTCAAGGAGGAAGAGAGGTACATGTTATGCACAGAGAGTTGCCGAGGCCTGGGGGGGGTATGTGTCCCCTCACCAGGCCTCCCAGCATCAGGCCCTATGGTGGCGGCATCCTCTAAAGGGCCCTGGGGGGTGCATTAGTCCCTGAACAATTAGGGGGGCACTCTCCTGGGCTGGAATATCTCTCTCTTGGTACCACTTGTGGCTCCCAGAGGGCCCATTTTGACATAATCAGGCTCAGGGAGCTGAGAAGCGAGGGGAGGGCCATTGGACCTCACCTCGCTCCCAGGTCTGCGGGGGGGTGCCGAGGAGGCAGGCAGATAGGGTGGATCCCGCTCGCTAACCCCAGCTCCCCCTGAAGTGGTGGGGAGGTCTTAAGGGGTTGACAAGGCCTTCTTGTAAGACTCCTTCTGCTGCTGGGAGGTCTGCTCCTCAGCAGAAGGAGCCAAAGCCTCTCCTGGGGGGGAAGCAAGGAGGAGCCCCACCTCCCCCCCCGCGGAGCCACCTGTCTCTGACAAACTGGGGAGCGGCTGGAAGGTAGGCACATCCCCACCACCCAACGAGGCATCCGCACCAGAGGCGGACGAACCATCAGGCGCAGCCACAGGTGGCTCCGCTGCAACCGGCTTCTTCCTTGGGCACTGGGCAGCCACAGCAAAAGCACGAGATGTCCCCAACAGTAAGGTAAGCCTCCTAACACTGCCCATCAATCATGAAAGACAGGGAGTGGGGTAAACCCCAAGCCTCCCGGACAAGAAGCATGAACATCTGCCTTTCAAAGGACAGGACATGCTGGAGCACAGGACCGCCGCTGCCAAGTGACAGTCTACGGACAGGCCCTGTGACCATGCCATAGGGGCGCAGGTGGTTGGTGAGCTCATCGTCCGAGAGAAATGGAGGAGAGGAATATTAGAGGCTACCACCTGAATGGCACTGTGTCTAAGGGTGTTGCGATGCAAAACACACCCCTGACAGTCACACCTGTTAACACAACTTCACGCGCCAAAGCAGGCGAGCTGAGGAAAATGACGGGGTCCGAACTCACTCGGTCAGCATAAAGGACGTTTCTGAAGCCTACTAGTGCACCCACAGCAGAGGCGCACTCCTCCACCCCGATGAAGGAAGGGGCATGAAGCCGGACACCAAAACTCAAGTCCAAAGGGGCAGAAGCCTCAGCAATGGACGGCTGGGAGCTGCCTTCAGCCATTCCAGCAAGAAAAGGGTTAACTATGCAAGGAACCAGAGGGGTCAGAGATGGGTGGTCATCTAACCAACAAGGAACAAAGAAACTGGAAAAAACAAAGAAACAAGAGAGGAGAGGAGAAAGGTACAGGATATATCAGGAGGGGAAACTGAAAAGAAGAAAGCAACAGAGCAGCCACAGCAAGGGGAGAGGAGAAACAAAATGAAGGGGGGGGGGGGGGGGGCGGCGCGGTGAATAAGGGGGGGGGGGGGGGGGGGGGGGGGTTATGGCAAGAGAAAGGGCTGAAAACGATGAAAAAAGGCAAGAAAAAGTAAATAAAGGCACAGGACTATGGTGAGGAAGGGGTCAGACTGTCACAGAATAGGCACAAGCTCCCAGAGGACAGAGGGAACATAGCTGTCGGCGGCCGTTTAGAAACAGACAAAAAAAAAAGAGAAAGAAAAGAACGAACATGAATAGGTCTGTGATTCTCAGGAGAGTCATGAACTGAGTTTGAGCCAAACCATCTCACTGCCTTCAAGACCAGATCACTAGGACTTGCTGTAAGATGAAACTAGGGGTTGGCAACCTGCAGCCAGATCCAGCCTGAGAAGCCTTTTGATCTGGCCCATGGACATAGGACTTCGGTGCTGTTCCATGGCAGGGGACTTTGGTAGCAGTTAGGGGTGCATCGATAGAAAATTTCTGGGCCGATGGCTGATTTTTAACGAGCCATATCAGCCGATACTGATCCGATTCTGATATGCAGCCAGGCAGCATGGAAAGGGGCGACTGGCTGGTAAGTCTGTTGCAGGGGAAGGGGATCGAGGCCCCTGCTATAAAGGAGAGAGTGGGGATGGGGCAGGGGTAGGGGCAGGCACTGCACAGCCAGGGCGGAGTGAGGGACAGAGCCTCTAGTGGCTTGTCCAGGTGGCGTGGGGAGGGGGTGGCAGCTCCCAGAGGGCATGGGGGGGCATGTGCCCCAGATCTGCACACAAGGCAAGGGTGGGCACCAGGCTCTTCCCAGCAGGAGGCTGGGTAGAGCTACACTCAGGACAGGCAGTGGTAGCACTGAGAGGGGTATATGGGGAGGCTGCAGCCACCCCAAAATTCACTGTAGCCCCCCCAACCTCTCTCCCAGCACCGCTGCTTGCCCTGAGCGCAGCCCCAGCCCAAGCCCCCCCCACCAGGAAGAGCTCCGCGCAGCCCCAGCCCCAGCCCACAGTGACAGCCTGTCCTCACCCTGTGCGCGGATCCAGGGGCACACACCTGCCCTGCCCCACTGGGGTGCACGCAGCAGTGAGAGCTGCCACCCTCTCCCCGCACCCTCCGGACGAGTCGCTTGTGGCTCTGTCCCCTGCTCCACGCCAACTGTGCAACATCTGCCCCAACCCCTGCCCAGCCCCACTTCCTCCCTCACCACAGGGGCCTCAATCTGCGCCCCCATGCCTGTTCCCTCACAACAGACTTACCAGCCAGACCCAGCTGCTTTCCACACTGCTGGGCTGAGCTCCTGCCGCCTGTGTGCTGCGCTGCAGCTGAGGGGATGCATGGGGAATTATTGGCCACATCAGCCAAAAAAGCCAATATCTGATACAGTCAGTTTTCCTTATATCGGTGCCAATCTGATATGGGACCCATGTATTGGTGCACCTCTAGTAGCAATCACTTTTCCTGTGCCAGCATAGGAAAAAGCAGTAGTGGGCACTTTCCCCATGCCAGTGGCGGGCACTTTTCTGGTGCTGGCATAGGAAGAAGCAGCAGCAGTAGATGCGTTCCCTGTGCCAGCAGCAGACGCTTTTCCTGTGTCAATGCGGGGAGAAAAGGCTGTAGCAAGTGCTTTGCCCACACCAGAGGTGAATGCTTTCCTTGTGCCCATGCAAGGAAAAAAGCAGTGGGACCAAGTACAGGGAAAAGTGGCCTTGGCAGGCACTCTTCCCATGCCAGCGTGAGGGGAAGCAGCAGTGGTGTGTGCTTTTCCTGTGCCTGCCATGGGACCTCCCTTTGTCCGTCTGCCTCTGACCTGAACTGTGTCAATATGACCTGCAGTCTTAAAAAGCTGCTGATCACTGCATTAAACTCTATTGAAAATTAGGGTACAAGTAAACTTACCTCGAAGTTACTCAGCAATGCAGCACTGGCATCTTTTCTAAAAAAGGAATAAAACATGTTTCAGAATATTTTGTATACAAAATTTAAAAATCACCATCTTCCTCTCTACTAACACTAGAAAGTAGAATTCGTTAAATTCAGGAATTCTTTCTAATAAAATTCTCAGGATCACAATTTTGTTAATTCCTCCACTGTTCCTGGCTGTTGCTATCTATGGCAGTCACGAATATTTTACACACCCTAACTATGCTTATTACTATTAGACAAACTATCGGTACAAGAATATTTGGCTCAATTGATCCACAAAGTAGTGTTTAACTTGCTCAGCAAAATCCTCTGAATTGGGACAGCCTACTGACTGATCTACCATTTCAATTAACAGCCCATTCAATTATTCCTTGCTCCTTAAACTTTTGTCTGAATAAAGTGACGCACAAAACAATAACAGAAATCTACTGAGTGGGTAGATACAGATATATAGATCATGTATACAAACACACATACAGGTAAGAGAGGTCTATATATGTATCTATAACTATGCACACACACACACACACACACACACACTCTATAGCATGGGTAGGCATTATTTGGGCTGGAGGGCCGCTTACAGAGTTTTTGTGAGCTGTTGTGGGCCAGGTCAGCAATCACCCCCACCATCAACAGCTCACCAAAGCTCCCTAAGTGGCTCCATGATGGGCCGGGCAGGTGAGATGGAGCTGCGGGGCAGGCAGAAAGCGGCATCCATGAGCAGGACAGGTGGGCAGGTCCAGGGCTGGGACTGGGGGGATGTGACAATATGGACAGAGCAATGGTCTGCTCCCCACACACCCCTGCAATGGGTGCTGGTTCTGCGAGCAGGGGCCTGGGGGGGAGTAGACCGCAGCTCTGCCCCGGGCCCCAGCCCTGCACTGCCACTGCCCCATGATCCTGGGCAGGGAGTGTGGCCAGGTGGATGGGATGGGGCCGCAGGTGGGTGGGGAGCAGCATCCAGGAGCTGGATGGGTGAGAGGAGTTGGATCCAGGATCTTGGGGCAGTGACAGTGTGAGGCCAGGAACCGATGTAGAACTGCAATCTGCTCCCCACACACCTCTGCCTGCGGAAACAGTGCCCACTGCAGGGATGCACGGGCAGCGGATCAAGGCTCTGCCCCAGGCCCTTTTACTGCCCTGTGATCCTGGCTCCAGCCTGGCCCTGGCCTTGCCCACCCACGCTGCTCCTGGACACCGCTCCCCAGCCCCATCCCCTCCACCTGGCCACGCACCCTGCCCACATGGGTCCCACCGCCTGGGGTGGGCCTGAGACAGATGGGCCGGGACTCCTGGCAGTGAGGCTGGGTCCAGCGGCAGTGGCAGCCAGAAGGAGCTGCCAGGAAGCGAATCTGCCCCTAGCCTGCTTTGCACGCATGCCACAGCCTGGGCTGCTCCCCGGCTGCCCCCACAGTCCCCTGGGCTGTCCCAATTAAGTAAGAATCGCTCTTACTTATTATTGCTGGATCGAACAATCTGAGTAAAGCGTATTTCTGAATTGAGCATGCTCCCATTAATTAGACTAGAAGATATTGTAATTTCATATTTTCAAGTAAATACAATTTCTGTAGGACAAGCAGCGAGGAGCTAGCCATATATCCTGAGAACAATGCATTCTGCTGAGCCACCAGACAGTTACCATACAAAGGGGAAAAAAAGGGCTTTTCTCAGGTCCACGACAGCACATAAAAAAAAGCAAAATGCATTGTCAAGCACCATCGACTGTTTGAATAGCACTGTCACATTCATCACAGTCAAACATGTGAATGCCTTCCAAACGTCCACAGGTTCTATCATTGTTTTTAAATGAAAGGGACCTTGTAAAATACGCTGAGATGAACTTAAAATTCCAATTAGCTGATTCTAGTGAAACTTCAGCAAGTGAGCTCACACACGCATCAGTTTCCATTCATGTTTTACAAGCCATATAGCTTTTGTAGTTTTGTTCTTAGGTAAACACAATTCTTTGAAATCTGCATTCAGCCTATCTCCGCAGAAATCCCTATGCACTGAGGATGCTCTTTGTTTCTGGAAATAATAGCGTCACGGAAGAATTACATACAGATTCTTTCCATTAAAAAAAATGAGACTATCCTGGACTGTATATTCAACAGGCAAGCACAGAATGAATCGGCGGTTCGTTTAACTGCGATTTTATACTATGTTTAAATCAAACGTGGGTTTGTTTTTAAAATGGTAAACCTTTTGGGACCACAAGCGCTTAAACTTTTTTTGTACCAATTAACAGCAAAAAGAAACCCATCCAGTTGTCAAGCTGTTACTTAAAAAATTAAGTTTTTACTAGCGGGATTGTGTATTGCTAAGGGTATTGGGGAGATACAAATTTATTATGGCTACAAAGTCCTCTTGCTGTTCAGTACTTTGTCAAGCTACGAGGATTTTAAATGAAATAATATAGCAAACATTATGGCTAGCGTGCTTATTCAAGTTGATTTGTGTCATTACAAAAAAAATTGGCAAAGCAGAAACAGACTTCAGTTTTTATGTCAGTCTGCACGGTCGTATGAACGTATGAACAACCAAAAAGTATGCATGCAATATATCAGCATGCAGTTTATTTTTATAGCAATTCTAATTTGGGGGTTTTACATCAGTTATCTACATAGCGCACTTAGGAGTAACCTGTAAATGGAAAAGGAAAAAAAAAATGACTTAATTTTAATACCTCTTCCATAAATATATTTTAGATTCCTTTGAAAAAAAAAATATTTTTTTTACCTAAATTACTAAGATCATCCTCATGCACTACAGATTCATCTCATCTTAGTCCATAAGAGCCACTCTTTTAAGATATACTTTAGAATACAATTGCCATGGTATGCTCCTATAGAAAATTAAACAAAAAAATTTCCCTTTCTAAACCAAAGCACCTCAAAATCAACCCCGTCTATCCAGGCCTTAAAAACCTCCAAGGACGGAGTGTCCACCACGTCTGGGTGACCTGCTGCGACGCGTCACCGCCCTCCTAGTGAGAAAATTTTCCCCAATGTCCAAAACTCATAAGTGGCCGTCGCCCCTGGTCCCCCCCCCGTGTCACCGCCGTCCAGCGAGGCTCGGGGGCGCCCGGGGTTTCTTCAGGGGCCTTCATGTTATCACCTGCGCGGCCCACGCTTGCAAACCTGCTGCGCGGCCAAGAGCATGCGCACGTCCAGGCCTTTTCTCCCCGGGGTAAGAAAATAGCCCTTTTGGGAGGGGGAACGGCCCGCGGGTGAATCACTCCTCCCCCGGGGGCATTTTAGCTCTGGGAGAAAAACAAACCACGGCTCTCCCGGCCCTCTCCCCGCACCCGCGGCCCTTACACGTCCATGGCGCCCGCGCTGCGTCCCGGGGGGAAAGGAAAAGGGGGAGGGGGCGGAGCGCAGCGCAGCGCAGCGCAGCGCGGGGGCCGCCGGGAAAAAGAACGTAGGAAGCGGCAAAAAAGATCACACTTGCATTGGCCGGGAATCGAACCCGGGCCTCCCGCGTGGCAGGCGAGAATTCCCAATGCGGCCGCCCGCGGTGCGGCTGCCCCGCGCCCTCCGCGCCCCCTGCACGGGGTGCCCTGCACCAGTTGTGGGTCCTTTCGGGTCTGCCCTGCACCACCCTGATTGTGGGTCCATGCAGGTCTGCCCTGCCCTGCTTTGAGGTCCATGCAAGTCTGCCCTGCACCAATTGTGGATCCCTCCGGGTCTGCCCTGTCCTGATTGTGGGTCTGCCCTGCACCGAACACTGTGGTTGTGGGTCTCTGTGGCTTTGCCCTACACTAGGTGCATCTACACGTCGCCATACGGCAATGGTGTGACTGCACCGTGCTTTTGGAAGTACTAAAACATGGTGTGGTAACCGCCCGGACGGTGCCGAATGGGCACCACGTGCTTAAATTTTCTTGCTGCGTTGCCAGAGCAGGGCACCGTAAGCGGGGAGCGTGCCACTACTGCGACGTAGCTAGCGATACGTCGGCATAGCGTGCCATGCGTCACTATGTCGCCATAGGGTGATGTGCAGGCGCGCCCGCTGCTTTGGTTGCTTCTTGCCCTTTCTCCTGACGGTGAAGGGAGAGGTTTCACCTGCCCACAAAAAGAAAGGCCCGCTGTTGGCACAAGGCTTGGCACATCCAGAAGCCAGGCAGAAATGCCCCAGAATTCACCAGTTTGAGTTGTGTGTGTCCCAGCCGGCTTCTGCTGTGATAATAAAAGGGGAAGAATGAATCAAATCATTTTTGTCCGTCCAGAAAATGAACTCCGGGCCTTGCACGCACAGCATGTCGCCATCACCTGTGCAAACAACATGATACCTTATAGGAAATCCACTTCTGGGTGCCACCAGGCATTTCTTCCTAAAGTGCTTTTATGGGTCTCATCAGCCGACACACCAATATTCCACCTTCTTCACTGCCCTCCCACTCGTTATAACCTCAATATATTGTATTACAGTTTGCATCAACCCCGTTTCAACCCAGAGAGAGCGAGCCCCGCTCTTCTCCGGACACAGCTGAGAATTGCTTTGGATACAGCACGCAAAACAACGGCCTTGCCCATGACCATAGGACAGGCCTGCGCAATACAAGAAACTCCTGTGTCCTCTGAGTTTAGGGCCGTGCTATTACTTGGGATCCAGCAAATAGCCATCGAGCCCTAATGACCCAGGGAGGTGACCCAAAATGATATCTTCTCTAGAAGAGTCAGCCTCTTTCATCAATGAAAGGACTGAAATATGAACCACCACGGTCATACCCCAGGAACCACCACAGTCATTGCACAGTGACAGCAATGAACAAACACCCAGATCAACAGACAGACTCCAGAGAGAGCTAGAGTCGCCTTTGTTTGTTCATGTGATTTACTGACCCTGGCACAATATGGCCAAAACCAGCAGAGCAAAGTCCTGCGACAGCTCTGTCGGGTGCTATACGATACCACGTGCACCTGCTTTTTTATGCTTAGCATCTCATTTCTGTCTTCCAACACCAGGTAATTATCTGCATCTTATTTGATATCTTTCTTAGGGCTTCGTCCTGAGCTCTGCTATGCACTTCAGCCACTGGGCTCTGGAGTTCATGCACAAACAAAATTATCACTGTGCTCCACACAAACTACTTTCCAAAGAGAAGATGCAAAAGTAGTGATTAGCCCAGGTATCTCGGTTTTTAATTTCTGTACTTCTGATTGGACTCAACGGCTTGGGATGTGTACATTAGAGTATCCATAGGGAATGCAGACATGGAATTTTCTAAATGTGCAGCGTATAAACATTTCAAGCATAGGATTGTGATTGTTACCACTAAGGCTCAATGAGAGAGGAGCCTTGGTATTAACTACTGAAAGCAGGGGACACAGTAACTGCTATGGAAAGCAGATCTGCAATGTATCTATTCTTTGTCATGAAAGATGTTTTCTGTATTCAGCATTTTGCATCTTTTTTTACATTCAAAATTCATTAAACAATTCTTTTTGTAAAACATGTCAGCACTGCTCCACACCAACCCAGCGAACAGTGCATTTCACTGACCAGCAGACCGAGTCTATAGGATGACTTTAGGGCAAAGGTTATGAGAGTCAATTCATTTCTAGCGTTAGGCCTAATACAAAGAGTATATTCCTGCAAATCACTATATAAAGCACTGAAAGGACTGAACATGATTATTAAAAACTCCTCTAATAAAGGAAAAATTAAAAGAAATCGGTAATGCTGTAACTAGTCCCCAAGAAGCAAGTGCGGTTAAGGCATGAATCTCTAATTTTTTGGAACAACGAAATGTAGTAAAATAATGTTCAATGTTTCTTTGCAGTTGAATGTGCCATATTCCCCTCCAAAGCACCCCAGTATGTGTGGTACATCAGTTTGGAAAAGAAAAGGATCAGAAATGGGACTGTGCTCCATTCCCTGTCCCCAGGAGAAATGATCTAAAGTACATAGTGCCATTTCATCAGGGGCTTCGTAGAAGCAAGAAAAAAAAGCAAAATGATAAAGCAGAAAGTGGGAGGAAATTAAAAACGGGAAAAAAGAGAAGAAAGCATTTATTTGAGGCCCATTTTGCAATCCTCAATTGGCACAAAGGTACTATTACTCTCTAGCTCAAAACCACCCTGTTAAAAAATCCTCCTGCCTTGTTTACTGCTATCCCCATACCTGGAACGTCTGTTCTGATTTCCAGTTTAATTTCTGTTATTCACACTTTCCATGCTGTTCATCACTAGGAAAAGGACTGTAACTGTGATGTCCCATTCAGAACCGTAGAAAAGAATTAACCATCTCCTGTAGGCAGGTAAGTAAATACATTCAGCAAATTCCCCCAAATAATCATTGCTGTGAGCATCTAGATGCCAGTGGTGGAAAGGAGATGAAGTGGTGGGACTGAGACAAGAAGGGTTGAGTGGATGGAGAGGACAAGCCACAGGTAAGGAGAAAAAGACTTCAAATGGGAACAAGGGACATGGCAAGAGAAAGACAATACAAGAGATGCAGGGGGTAGAGAAATGATTGCAGGGGGTGGAGATACAGGGAGTGGAGAAATGATTGCACATGCTCTGCTGGGGATTTTGATGACAAATTCACCTGAAATTTAATTTGTACCATTCCTAGAGCTCCTCAAAGGCCTGGATACTGAAGACTGGAATAAGTAGTGCACTGTAATATAGTTAACAAACAGTGTGAATAATAATAATAATAAAAGTAATAGCAACAAAAGTAAAAAAAATACATCATTAGGAGTGTGGAAGAAGGGAAAAGCATTTCCTTGCTGGGGAGTGACTGAGTATTTAGAGCCAAGGAACAAATGCTGGGTTGGGGTCTGTTTTCTGGGATCTCCCCTACCTGTATCGTTGTTCAGTCCTTGGAGTTGGATCAGTTGACGAAGGGATTTTATTAAAATAGCGGCTCCCTGCAATAATAGGGACTGGACTCAACAACCCAGAAGGTCCCATCTAGTCCATTATGAATTACCTAGCAGTGAATCAATAACCAGTGTATCAGCCTGCACAATGAGGAACTTGAAAAGGCTATTCTGTTCTGCCACAATCAGTCTACAAAAGTTGAAAGCTAACAAGAGTCACTCATTGATAACGACTCCCTCAACTGGCGAAAATGTAGAAGCCCACAGCTACTGTGGCAATATTCCCCCAAAATAGGTTTTATACATGCAGACATGGAAACAGGAAAGACTCATGGGGAATCCTGCAGGCCAGATGACACAGTGCCAGGGGCTGCATGTGGTTTGCAAACTGGGGGTTGAGCACCCCGCTCTAATCCAATGTTTCTCAACCCGTGGGTTGCGGCTCAAAAGTGGGTTGCAAGAATATATGAAAGGGTCGCAAGTGGATTATCCTTTAAAGGAGAAAAACGTGGGAAACCATGGCTTTTCCCTTGCGCCAGTTCCAGCCTGCAAGGGGCTGCTTGAGGTCCCTCCAAGCCCCACACACACCCACCCCCTGCCCCACACACTGCGGGGCTAGGGCCTGGGGGTGAGGGGCACTGGGTCAGGACTGGCTATCGATGTGACAAATGGGTTCTGGTACAAAAAAGGTTGAGAGCCTCTGTTCTGATCCATGGGCAACTGGTGCCTCCCGAGTCTGGGAGGGCACCAGATCCCCCAGCGGGCGATCACCGAACCAGCAGCAAAACCAGCGAAACTGGAAGTGCACTTCTGCCGGCACTTCGGGTTTCGCAGCTGGCACCAAGGGGGTGCACGGCTGATCTCTGCACCCGTGTGCACCCGCTACATGTCACCAATGTTCTTGTAATCCATCCCAACCTCCTAGCACGTGGTACGTGATGGGGAAAAGTCGAGGATCAACTCCTATTGACTCCCAGCATAGTTTTCTGCATGGCTTACAGAGGTGTGTTTCAAGTTGAGACAATATTTTGAACTCCAGAGGTTTTAAACGGCTACTAAATAATAAGTTGAGCTTTTGAATTCAGATGCACATAGGCAAACTCTTGTTTCCCAGAACAAGACACTCCAGGCACGGAGGTTTTCTCCAACAGAAAACATTAGGGAGTCTCTCCCCTCCATCCCATTCTCTCCTTCTGCCCCCATAACGTACGCTCTTTGCAAGCTAAATAGGCTCAGGGGGCTTATATGCACTGAGCTCAGACCATCTGAATAAATCATTATAATTTGCTAGCATTGCAATATTGGAGCACAGCAGGACCGGAGGGGGTGGGACTAGATGTGGGAGGGAACTCCAGGGAAATTCCAGATCTGTTCAGCCCCCCCCCTGTGGAGGCGGGGCTATGACATCAGCTGGCTGTGCCTA